TTTTAAAAAGCAGGGAGAGGGGCATCTTAACCAACAATCACTAAAAAGAAATTAGAAATTAAACCAATATGTTGTCAAATAATTACAATTTAGTTTTCCTCTAACTTTCCTCTAATGAGAAATTTTCTGATCTATTTTATTTTTCCATACCTTCCAAGCAAAAGCAATTTAAAATCTGAATCAGAAATGGGTTTCTGAGACTTCTGGCCAAGATGGAGGCGTAGATAGGTACACTTTGCCTCCTCTCACAATGGAACAAGGACAACAACAAATTTAAAAACAAAAACAAACAGAACTGACAGAAAATCAAACTGTATGGAAGTCCAACAACCAGAGTTAAAGAAGAAATGTTCATCCAGACCAGTCGGAGAGGTGGAGACAGGCAACCAGGCAAAGAGGACTCACAGCAAGGCAGCAGCAGGAGGACCAGGGCAGGCAAGATGGTCCCACATTTGTGTGCAGACAGACTGGGAGGAACAACTGGGGAGTGAGACAGACCACGCAACACAGGGTTCTAGTGAGGGGAAATAAAGCCTCAAAACCTCTAGTTGTAAAAACTTGTGAGGGTTGTGTCATGGGGAGAAACTCCCAGCCTCACAGGAGAGCTCATTGGCAAGACCCACCGAGTCCTAGAATGTACACAAAACCACCGACCTGGGAATCAGCACCAGAAGGGCCCAATTTCCTTGTGGGTTGTGATGGAAGTGACTGAAAACCAGCAGAGAGTGGAGTAAGGAGCATTGTGCCCTCTGAACCCCCTCCCCGACATACAGCATCACAACACAGTGATGGGGTTGCCCCACCCTGATGAATACCTAAGTCTCCACCCCTTAATATGTAATAGGTGCACCAAGACATGGAACAATGTCTTGGTGCACAAAAAATGTCCCAAATGAAAGAACAGGTCAAAGCTCCAGAAAAAATACAACCAAGTGATGAGAAGACAGCCAACCTATCAGACGCACAATTCAAAACACTGGTAATCAGAATGATGACAGAAATTGTGGAGTATGGTCACAAAATAGAGGAAAAAGTGAAGGCTATGAAAAGTAAAATAAAGGAAAATGTACAGGGAACCAACAGTGATCGGAAGGAAATCGGGACTCTAATCAACAGTTTGGACCATAAGGAAGAAATAAACATTCAACAGAACAGAATGAAGAAACAAGAATTCAAGAAAATGAGGAGAGGCTTAGGAACCTCCAGGACAACTTTAAACATTTCAACATCTGAATCATAGGGGTGCCAGAAGGAGAAGAGAAAGAGCAAGAAATTGAAAACTTATTTGAGCAAATAATGAAGGAGAACTTCCCCAATCTGGCAAAGGAAATAGGCTTCCAGGAAGTCCAGGAAGCTCAGAGAGTCCCAAAGAAGTTGGACCCCAGAAGAAACACACCAAGACACATCATAATTACATTCCCAAAGAATAAAAATGAGAAGAAAATCTTGAAAGCAGAAAGAGAAAGGGAGAGAGTTACCTACAAAGGAGTTCCCATAAGACTACCACCTGATTTCTTGTAGCCAAGAAGGGGCTGGAAAGAAGTATTTTAAGGCATGAAAGGCAAGGACCTACATCCAGGATTACTCTATCCAGCAAAGCTATCTTTCAGAATGGAAGGGCAGATCAAGTGCTTCTCAGATAAGGTCAAGTTAAAGGAGTTCATCATCACCAAGCCCTTATTATATGAAATGTTAAAAAGACTTATCTAAGAAAAAGAAGATAAAAAAATATGAACAGTAAAATGACAACAAACTTACAACTATTGACAACCGAACCTAAAAAAACAAAACAAAAACAAACTAAGCAAACAACTAAAACAGGACCAGAATCACAGAAATGGAGATCACATGGAGGGTTATAGGCAGGGGAGGAGGACAAAGGGGGAAAAAGGTACAGGAAACAAGTAACATAAATGGTAGGTAGAAAATAGACAGGTAGAGGTAAAGAATAGTATAGGAAATGGAGAAGCCAAGGAACTTAAATGTACAACACATGGACATGAACTAAAGTGGGGGAATGTGGGTGGGGGGGGGTGTGCAATGCAGAGGGGAACAAGGTGAGGAAATGGGACAACTGTAATAGCATAATCATAAAATATATTTTAAAAAAAGAAATGAGTTTCCAACATTCATTATAGCAAAGTACTTAACATTTGTTTTGCTATCACAAACCTTTGATGATCTCCATAGCAGCACAGCAACATCGTCCTCGCTGAGTATTTCCAAATTATCTGACACCTAGCAAAACTAACACCCTCCCCTAGGAGCATGGAGCTGAATAGATGCTTCCAAGCACAGGCATGCGTCATTTTGCTGCACTTCACTTCATTGCAAGTCACAGATGCTGTGTTTTTTTCACAAATTGAAGGCAAGGCCCTCCACCAACAAAAAGATTATAACTTTATGGCAAGACCTGCTTTATTGTGAGACTTGCTTTATTACAGTGGCCTGAAACTGAACTGGCAATACCTCTGAGGTGTGCCTATACGTATACCACGTCAGGGAAATTATGTGCTGGAGGAACCTGGCATGCAGCCTTCTCTCTTCAGCGTCTTTCCTTTGGAGCACAGGGACACCAGCCACGCTGCTAGCACTAAGTTACAAAAATGAGAAGACAAGCAATTTTCTCCGCATGGTAAACCTTTGTGAAACTGAGAGGAAATACCAAAATTGGTTTCTGCTATGTGCAGGACAATCATAACCAAAAACTTTCAGAAAAGATAAATACAGGAACTTAAATAAAGCTGACAGAGACAGGTTTAACCAATTACTCACCCTTCTTTATAGAAGTTTTTTTTTTTTAAGAAAGGGAAGAACTTGGTGCCTTTATTTTATACTGCCCTATACAATAAAAAACTAACAAATAATAAAATAATTTTAAAACTGTTTTTTAAGATTAAACAATGCCAGCTACTGCATCATACTCCCAACTCTATTAATAGAAAGTAAAGTCAAATTTTTGTTCCCACAAACCCACCAGTTGTGAGTCCCCAGGTTTTGACCCTCCCCCACAGCACCTGAAGCTTGTTTCTACCACCCTAGTCCCATTTTCCACTATTCATCTTCATCCCAACCTTCTCCTTGAGTCAGTGCTTAAGAAACTCAGGCTACTACTACATCTGGTGGCAGCAGTCCATACTTTCTGACAGGTTTTTGTAAAATGCTTACTACTTTATAATTCATAAGTTACTCAGTGAGAATAGGATACATAGGAATGTATGTATCTGATCTCTCGAAACTTAGGACCATTTTTAAATCTCTGTAAACACTTCTTTCGAAATAGCTTGTAAAGCACTCATAGGTCCACCTGATTTGTTCCTGGAATACAAAATAATTGCTTGCTAGTCATAAAACAGATATCTACATATTACCCATTATCTCAAGCCAATTGAATTAGTAATAATTGTAGACAAACTCTGTGTCAAGCATTCTTTGGTTTCATGAATAAGATAAGCAAGACGTGACCCCAACATCAAAGTACTCAGTTTAGTGGAAAGTCAGTGGCATAGGTAAAAAAGTACAACACACCCTTGGTGAGTAATGGAATGAAAACATGTACGTGGTACAGAACTAGGCATAAAAAGAGTTTTTGTGGGTTTTCTGAGGCTCCTTCAAAGTCCCACCTGCCAAAAATATGCACATTCTTCCCCAAACTTGCAATGATATGTGCAATATTAACCATGAGAGTTATTCATTTGCAAAAAGAAATTATATCTAGAAAGCCCACACACCATGTTGGTGTTACAAAAGCATAGTTTCTCAACAACTATTATTATATTAGGATAGATTCATTTGTTCTTTAAAACATGGGACACAAAATATGTGTGTGTATTGGTGAGAAGATAATTTAAGGGTTAGTTCTCAGGACACAGCCCGTCAAGGAGTGGCTCCAATGGGACATACGTTCAGAAGCACCTAGAGGTGGACCAGCATGGGGAAGCCTCAGCTAAAGTGCCTAGGCTTGTCCTGACTCAGTTTATTAAAAACAGTGTTACTACTCACTTTCTCTTAAAACTTGGCCACTAGTTAATCAACAGATGTTTATTAGACACATTTCTCTCACTTTGCATTTTTATAATACAGTCATTGGAGTCGAATCAGGACCACCCCTCCTTTTTACTGATATAGGATTGTCTCATGCTCTGTTGCCAAAAGACATCACACAAGTGCAGGAAGGGAAAAAACTGAAAATTGAGATTTCTCGTGTTGATGCTCAGGTAAGTGGTAGCTGAGTTGCCTCCTGCCCTTCCCATGCAAGATGGCTTTAGGTTGCTGTCAGCATATTGGTCTCCTCTGTCCTCTAGTCAGCTCACAGTTCCTGCTCTCATTACAGCACAGCTGGTGCTAACTACCCCCTAATCTTTCTTTAATCAATTCCATCAGTTTTCTTTCCATCCCTTCCTTAAGCAAATAAGAAAAAAATAAAAGCTTCTAACAGTTACAAGAGTAAAGTTCAAGAGAGGCTAAATAATGACTCAGCATCATTAAATAGCAACAAAGGCAACATCTGAGCTCTAGATTTGTCTCTGGTTCCCCTACATCTTCACTTCCCAAATGCTAATCAAAGCCAGATGGGAAGGGTGTTGGGGCATGGGGGGAAAGGTGAAGTGATTAAAAATAATCATCAGTTATAAAAACAATCATGGGAATGTTAATTTAAGTACAGCATATGAAACACAGTAATATTTTAACAAACGTGCATAGTGTCAGATGGGTACTGGACTTATGGGGTGATCACTTTGTAAGTTATGTAAATGTCTAATCACTGTGTTGTACATCTGAAACTAATATGATATTGTATGTCAATTGTAATTTAATTTTTAAAAATTCTTAAAAATCAAATAAATAAAATAAATTTTAAAAATAATCAAAGACTGATCTTCATTTTTGCACCATGCTTACATTGTATCTTTGAATGGTAATTACAACTCAACTGTTGCTATTATCTACAATTGAAAAAAAATGTAGGCAAGGTTCTTGAAAGAGAAGTTTATTAATAATGAAAATGGCATACATACATGAGAAGGAAAGCCCCTTTTATATACACAAAGACTTTTTCATGCTAATTAGCTAGAATTAAGACTAGAGCATTTCAAAAAAAAAAAGTACAGTAGCATGAATTTGTCTGACCCAGTTTAGGTAAAATGTCATTTTAAACAAGATGAAAAAAAAACTTTCATTATCTATACCCCATATTGAACACGATCACCCCAGAAACATCACATAGTCCTGATACATAAATAATTATACCTGTATTCTTTGATATCATGGTTACCTTTTTCCTATGTATGCCCTTAATCTCTAAAGGAATAATTAAGTATAAGCGAGGGGAGAAAAGCCAGGAGAAGAAATCATTTAATCTAGTCTGTAGTTGTAAATTGTGCAAATGAGGGGTGCCATTTAAGCTGTGTCTTATCAACTCATAGGAGTATTATAAGGTTTTATAAAATCCATGTGCCAAAAAAATTTCCAGGCAGATTCTCTACACCATCAATCACTTTTTGGTACCCTCCCACCTTCCCACCACCAGCCAGGATCTACTGTAGAATACAATGCAACTGATTGATTTGAGGTTTGTGACCTTCACATCTTTTTTTCTGCATTTATTATACATTTGGGAGTAGAATGAGCTGGGTCCATGACTCTTGCAGCTGGACTATAAATGAAGAAAGCTGGCCCTACCCATTCCTACTGGGAATTGTTAGAAGCATTTTAGGGAGAAAAAATTTGACCCATAACTTTCTTGGCTAAAACATCTCAGTTTAATAAAGATGGGTTATTCTCCTAAATTGGCTATTTCTTCATGGTATAAATATGTCGAATTCACTTCCCATTTCAAAATGAAAAGTCAATTTACAGGCTGGTATCCATGACAGAAAACATGGAAATGACACAAAATACAACCTGCCTAAAAATCACGAAATGGAAGGGAAACTGATAAAGCTAGAATGCAAATGAATAATCAGATCAGATATCTTCGTCGACTCAACATAGTTTTAGAGCCAACAAAAACTATTTGTACATTTTTTATCTTTTTTCCTAAAGTACTATTAAGTCAGGGCTGTTTCGCTACATCACAATGCACTACGTGGTAAAACAGGGGAGGGAGGCGGGCAGTAACCTACCCATGGTGACCAGACACTACAGAAGAAAAAAGAAGAGGTGGGAAGAAAATCAGGCAAAGCCTGCACTTGTTTCATTGTGTAAAGTAAATGGGACCTTAGGACACATAAATGTGAACAAATACTCTTAAAACATTGCCATGATGGAAATGGAATCTTATTTCTCAAATAAATTCCCCTTTATCCAGAACCCATGAAAATAAGAATTGTGTGTAGACACTCAACAATAAAGGCTATCTATATCTGTAAGACTCCAAAGCACCTTACGAATCAAAAAACAAGTTTTTTTAGTTATTTACCATGTACTTTTAGTGCTAACTGCATTTTATTGTTTTCAAATAAAGTGATAGTTTTATTGAATATTATATTGCTAGGTTAGTGAGAATGTTCTAATAACCAGAATATTTCATTCCTCAATCACATACCCTAAAAGGAGAGTTGAGCCTAATACTTCAAAATGACTGCATGCCATTAAATTACCTTGGGGAATGCTCTTTTTAAAAGCTCTCTCTGTTTCTATGAATCTGGGTTGTTAAATTTTGTTTGTTTTTTAGATTCCACTAGAAGTGAGAGCATATGGTATCTCTTTCTCTGCTTCAGTGAGCACAGTGTCTGCCGAAGGGAAGGACAATAGACAACACTGTGATGAAGTTGCATGGTGACAGGTGATTCTGGAGTTAGTGGGATGACCATAACGTAAGGTATAAAAGTGACAAATCACCATATTGTCCACCTGAAACTAATGTAACTAGTATAATAGGGTATACCAACTGTACTTAAGTTTTTTAAAAGTCCTTTCTGGGCAGTGTGAACATCAGTGGATCTTCAGCATGGAAACTGCACTCTCTGACCTACCCCACGTGGTTCAGCTGTAACAAGGTGGGGCAACCCTGAGAGTGCAGGACTTCCTTAATTTTCCACATAATAGGTGTGGAGCAGATACTCACGTAGAGCTAAGAAATTTGCTCTCGCATGAAAAGGTCACACAAAAGAAAATGAGAGACAGAGACCCATCAGATTCTCAAATCCCCACTTCACTGCCTGGCCCCTGGGAAACAACGATCCTCCCACAGCTCAGAGTCTGTTCCTCCTGAGTGTCTCACGGGCCGACCTGCTCTAGTTGCCCTTCGCATCCATCTGGAACTCTGCCAGCAGGTGGACATTCAAAAGGTGGCATTCTATGGTTAATTTGCGATAAAACAATTTTTTAAATCAAACACAAACAAGTTTAGGAAAAATTTCAAAGCTAAACAGAACTCTTTAGAAGTTTTACAAATAAAATTAAGCACTTAGTAGTGACGAGTGCCATTAAATTTTATCAACTACCTTTCAAATGGGCCCAGCAAAAAATGTCCCAGCAGTGGCTTGTACCTCTGCTGAAGTCCTAGAGAATGCGGTATGTGAGAGGGAATACAAGAAATACTGACATAAGGGAACTGCCTTCACACCACACACACACACACACACACACACACACACTAGTTACCACACAAACTTTGCAAAGTACCTGGATATCTTCAAGGCTTCACTAGCTTTACTGTGGCATGTACTGAGCCCAGACATTTAGTTTCTGGTGTCTTCATAATGAGTGAAATTGGCAGTCATCAAGTTAAGAAAAAAAATAAGTTAACCAATATTTTATCTTAATGGTCAGTCTATCCCTAGTCAGAAAAAAATCAAATGTTCCAGATTGCTTTAATACTAATATTAAAGACATTGTAACATAAAATATCTGTATCAATAATAACTTATTTGCACATACAATTTAATATTAATAATGATGATTATTTGGCCCTCTCCTTTGCCCTTCCAAAGCTACCCACTCAAAAACATACTGGAGATAAAGTGGGTAGTTACTAATTCAGTTAAAATTTATATAAGATGGGGACCTTTTCCTACCTATAAAATAAAAGATATTAAGCAGGAATTAATTTAGACAAGTTATTAAACAAAAGAGAAGTAATCCAAATCAGCTAACCTGTACTACGTGAGGTAGTTAAGTGCTATTTCCCAAATGAAAATATCAGAAACTAGAGAAGATCCAGGATTCAGCTGGGACATCTTTAGATACCATAAGCAGGGTCAAGGAACCTGTAAGTTCTAACTCAGCCCACCTGTCAATCGGCATACCATACACTCTCAGCTCTGTGGCCTTGACCTAACCTTCATTCCCTCCCTGTCCACAATTAAATTCATCTTTAGTTGAAGGAAAGCCTTCAGACTTCATATATATGTATTGTTCTTGATAGCAAAAAAAAGAAAAAAAGATTCTGAGATAGTTAACACAACAGTAATGTGATCTTAATTAACATGCTCAGGAAATTCAAAAGTCTGGTAGAAGCATAAAGTACAAGACTAATTCTATAGAGCAGCAAAAAGTTTACTTTTTCTTCAGCAGTTTAATCCTCCCCCAAAACTTAACATTTTAATTAGACAAATCTGACTATAAACTATATTAAAACTGCATCAAAGGCTTCTCACTCCATCTGACGATACCAAGCATGCTACAGAATGTTTACCTGGCAAACCTGCCCTCTCCTGTAATAATCTCGCCTTCTCTTCCTCCTGGGACTCCAGAGGTGCAGTTGTCAGCAGACGGCCTGGGACATGCGGCAGCAGACAGCAATGCCTCCCCAAGGCGCCCTCAGGCCCGGCTGCTTTCTTCCAGAATGCTTTCCAGAACCCACATAGTTTTGAATTTCTTTACATACAGTGTAGGTACAAAATTTTTTGTAGGTATAAAAATTGTCACATCTCTTACTACATTCTGAAATTTTGAACTGGAAAAAAAAATGTGTGCCCTAAACTTCATGTTTTATAGTAAAATACTCATCTTCCAATGGAGTTCAAAATCCAGGTTCATTATATGATACAGTAACAAGTGATCTCTATCTTCTCTAGGCTTCTAATCTGTTCCAAAATACGAGTCATGATTAAAGCTCATCCCTGTTATGGGAAAAAGAAAAACACAATTAATTGAAGAAGCAAGAATGTACATTGAAAGGCACTTCTGCTGTAATACATTGCCAAGTTGTATTCCTAAAATCACCAGTACTCTCTATTTGCTTTCTCTGCACAAAGTTATCCCGCACTTTGCTAAGTTTAAAAAAAATCCCTGGCCAAGATAGAGGCATAGGTAGACACACTGCGCCTCCTCCCACAACCAAAATAAGGACAACAACAATTTAGAAACAAAAAACTACCAGTACCAACAGAAAATTGAACTGTATGGAACTCTGACAACCAAGGAGTTAAAGTAGACACATTCATCCAGACTGGTAGGAGGGGCAGAATCGGGTAACAGGGCAGAAAGGGGTCATGTCAAAGTGGTGGCTGGCAGACCCAGTGAGGTAGTGGATTGTGGAGGGGCGTGGCACACAAGGCAGCTGGCAGAACCAGGTAATCCCACATTCACACACAGATAAACCAGGCAAAACTGGGCAGTGAGACAGACTGCACAACCCAGGGTCCCAGCATGGGGAAATAAACCCTCAAAACACACTGACTGAACACACCTGTGGGGGTTGAGGTGCCGGGAGAGGCACCCAGCCTCATAGGAGAGTTCGCTGGAGAGACCCACAGCATCCTAGAATGTACACAAGCCCACCCACATGGGAATCAGCACCAGAAGGGCCCAGTTTGCTTGGGGGAAGCCTTGGAAGTGACTAAAAACTGGCAGAGAGCAGAGCAAGCAGCATTGTTCCCTCTCGGACCCCTCCCCCACAGACAGTGTCACAACCCAGCGATGTGGGTTACCCCACCCTGGTGAACACCTAAGGTTCAGCCCCTTACTATGTAACAGGTGTGTCAAGACAAAAAAAAAAGGCTCAAAAGAACAGATCGAAGCTCCAGAAAAAATACAACTAAATGTCAAGAGATAAACCTTAGCCAACCTATCAGATGCACAGTTCAAAACACTGGTAGTCAGGATGCTCACAGAATTGGTTGAATTTGGTCAAAAATTAGAGGAAAAAATGAAGGCTACGCTAAGTGAAATAAAGGGAAGTATACAGGGAACCAATAGTTATCGGAAGGAAATCAGGACTCAAATCAACAGTGTGGACCAGAAGGAAGAAAGAAACATCCAATCAGAAAAGAATGAAGAAATAAGAATTCAAAAAAATAAGGAGAGGCTTAGGAACCTCCAGGACATCTTGAAACATTCCAACATTCAAATTACAGGGGTGCCAGAAGAAGAAGAGAAAGAACAACAAATTGAAAACTTACTTGAACAAATAATGAAGGAGAACTTCCCCATTCTGGCAAAGGAAATAAAATTCCAGGAAGTCCAGGACTCTCAGAGAGTCCCAAAGAAGTTGGACCCACGGAGGAACACACCAAGGCACATCATAATTACCTTAGCCAAGATTAAAGAGAAGGAGAGAATCTTAAAAGTAGAAACAAAAGGAGAGAGTTACCTACAAAGGAGTTCCCATCAGACTGTCAGCTGATTTCTCAAAAGAGACCTTACAGGCAAGAAGGGGCTGGAAAGAAGTATTCCAAGTCATGAAAGGCAAGGACCCACATCCAAGACTGCTCTATCCAGCAAAGCTTTCGTTTAGAATGGAAGGGCAGATCAAGGGCTTCTTAGATAAGGTCAAGTTAAAGGAGGTCATCATCACCAAACCCTTATTATATGAAATGTTAAAAGGACTTATCTAAGAAAAAGAAGATAAAAAATATGTACAGTAAAATGACAGCAAACTCACAGTTATTAACAACCACACCTAAAGCAAAACCAAAAGAAACTAAGCAAACAACTAGAACAGGAACAGAACCACAGAAATGGAGATCACATGGAGGGTTAGCAACAGGGGAGTGGGAGGAGGAGAGAGGGGGAAAAGGTACAGAGAATAAGTAGCATAGATGGTAGGTAGAAAATAGACAGGGAGAGGGTAAGAATAGTATGGGAAATGTAGAAGCTAAAGAACTTATGACACATGGACATGAACTAAAGGGGGGGAATATGGGTGGAAGGGGGTGTGCAGGGTAGAGGGGAGTGAAGGGGGAAAATGGGAGGACTGCTCAGAGCATAATCAATAAAATATATTTTAAAAATCCTTCTCTACAAAGACCATATAATGTTTTTACTAAATCCTAAATCAAGTCTATTAACATTTTCTTGGGCTACTGTTAGATAAAATGCTGAGATTAAGTGAAACTGAAAATATTGTGTGGGTTATATGCCTAACATTTTTTAAAATATATTTTATTGATCATGCTATTACAGTTGTCCCATTTTTTTCTCCCCTTTATGCCCCTCTGCTTTGTACCCCCCTTCCCTCCACCATTCCTCCCCTGCTTAGTTTATGTCCATGGGTTGTACATATAAGCTCTTTGGCTTCTCCATTTCCTATTCTATTCTTAACCCCCTCCTGTCTATTTTGTACCTACCAATTATGCTTCTTATTCCCTGTACCTTTTTCCTCCATTTTCCCCCCTCTACCTCCCCATTGATAACCCTCCATGTGATCTCCATTTCTGTGATTCTGTTCCTGTTGTAGTTGTTTGTTTTTGTTTTTTAGATTCAGTTGATAGTTGTGAGTTTGTTGTCATTTTACCATTCATAGTTTGGACCTTCTTCTTTTTCTTAGATAAGTCCCTTTAAAAAGGGTGTGCCTAACACTTTTTCAATGCCATCTTCCTTAACGAACATCCCTCTTAAGTTTATAGTGCATGTGTGAACTTCCTTTTGCTTCACCAATCTTTTTTTTTGGAATCTTCTGTTACCATGGATTTTGTATTGTATATGTTATTGACAGGCAGTTTGCCAGCAGAAACTGAAGCAATGTAGTCAATCTGTCTTCCACTAATTACATTCTCCTGAACCCTGTCTTTGGATGTCTTGGCCTAGATGAGATGCATTTTTCATCCAGGCAACAGATTCAGGCAGGGGTCTCCAAGGGGCTTATAAAAAGTCTTAGGGAGGACAAAACTGTCAATTATGTTCTTTTATTAGATACCCCTGGAATGGAGTCCCCAGTCATCTGCTAGCTTCAGACAAGTAGGTACCCTGGTTTCAAAGGCAGACTCCTGGTACTACTGTTTGACCAGCAGTAAGCAAGGTTGGCAGTACCTCCCAAGAGCCAAGTCAGATGTTCAGAGATTTTTAAAGGGGTCTCTACCATGTACATGGAATTATAAAAATACTTCCTCAGTTCCCTTAAGTGTCAGTTTGTCCCTTCCTATCAGAGAGGAATCATGGGAGAGACTGTATACCAGAGAAAAAGGAATTTGGAGCAAAGGGGCAGACACTACAGGGCCATGGGTGTTATCCTGACCCTTTATCAATTTCTTCCACAAGCTTCAGTGAATTGCCCTGGTTTTTCTCTTTTCAAGCCAGATGAAAATATCTGGCTTGAGTTGAACCTGCCCATAAGGAAGCACCCTTGTGAGGGCAGCATTAAGAGCAAATATACTAATTGCACCCATGACACTCAATTACTGCCCATAATGGTCTCTTTATAAGATAGTTTATTTTGTAACTTAAGTCTGGTTACGGATCCTGGGGAACAAAAGGAATAAAACCAGAGACACCTGCCCAAAATGCAGGCTGAGAAAAGCAATTGAAATACAGAATGAAATATAAAATGAACTTTATAGAAACAATGTATACACTTTAATGAAATTTGTGTAATTCAAAGCATAGTGAAAAGTATCTATAGAGATAATTAAATGTTAGGATTGATGGCTACTCACGTGCTTTTCATGGAAACTATCAAAAGTATTTCAGAGCATTAAATCAAGGGTGACACCTATGGTAATAAGAGGGAAAACATGACAGAGCCCAGGAAGCTCTAGACCAGACCATGTAGTGTCTTCATTCTAAATTTTCTCTGCCATTTGCTACCACTGTGATCTTGAGTAAGTCCTGTCAGCTCTCCAAGGCTTTTTTTGCTCACTTATAAAACTTAAATGAGAACATTCAACTGATAGAGCCCTTATGAGAAATAAGTGAGGTAATCTGTGTGAAAGTGTGTTGACTATGAAGAACTCAGCAAGCACGGGCTACCACCAGAGCCCAGGTCACATGAACAGGAATCAGGTGCTCCCGCTGGAGGTACGGTTCCAAGGAAACTGTTAAGAGCCTGAATGGGGACACTGTTCCTAATGCTTACATTTGGTGTTCTCTCACAAAAGCTGCAAACTCGGGATCATTGGCATACAGTTCCAAAATTCTCATTCTTTCTTGAATTTCCTTTAAAAAAAAAAAAACAGAAAAGAAAAAGAGGCCATGCATGGCACTATAAAAACATATATACATAACACGTAGATACAGACAACAGTGTGGTGATAGCCAGAGGGAAAGGGTGTGGGGGATAGGTAGAGGTGGGCAAAGGGGAGGAACAGGGACAGAAAGAGACTTTGCTTGGGCCAATGGGCCCACAATACAGTGTGCAGCGGATGGTATGTTTTATTGAGTCATACTCTTAAAACCCGTGTGGTTTCGTGAACTAGTATCACCCCAATAAATTCAATTAAAATATATAAATAAATAAACACTATTCACCACAAGACTATAAATAAATAAAAAGGGTTCTAATATTTATAAGGAATTGTGGCTTTCTGGGCTATCAAAAGGAGGTACAGGAAAGAACAGCCTTTACAGAGGAATGGAAGGTTTGGATACTACACAAACAGAATAACTCAGACATACTTCTAAGGAAGGGGGGTAAGGAGGGAAAGAGCATTTGCTAATAATGGAAATAGAAACCACTGGGTAGAGAATGAGGTGCAGCTCAGATGTATATACCCTCTGCATCCAACATCACCTAGGAGATATCATGGGGTAAGAACTAATCAGGAAATACTTGTCATCTTTTCCTGAAGCTCATGCACACACACACACACACACCAGCAGCAGCAGAGTGACAACAGAAAAGCAGTTTCCTACCTCCCTGGAAAGCCCACTGTTCTCATACATTTGTCTGATTTCTTCCCTATTCAGGCCGCCAAAGATCTCTCCTCCTGGAGAGCTGTAGAAGGGACACGGAGGATAGGGTCCCTTGTACTGCTCAGTTCCCATCACATGGCTTTCATAGGCAGGGTTGTATTTTACAGCATCTTCAACGGACGGGAGGCTGTCAAGCCGCCTGCTGGAGCCACAAAAAGAAAAGTATGATTGATTCAGGTTCTTGTTCAGATGCTCAATGACTTGGAAGACTATTTACCTGTAGCAAGATTTCTGTTGGGGAAGAAAAAGAGGTGACTGATACAAATGTGGAAAGGGACTGTGAAAAACAACCAGATAATCTCAAAAATTATTTATCAGGTGTTATCATTGTTATCTCCTCAGCTACCTGGCAAGGACCCTATGAAATTGTTCCATGTCTCTTACACTTTTATTTGCCCCACAGTGCCTGGCACTCAATAAATGCTGATGGGGAACCATGCCTGCTAATAGAGAGTGTTTCATTAAATGCATATGGCACCATCATTACCAGAGTAGACCAATCAAAAATCAATGTGTAACACACAGATAATCTGATAGGAATATAAATATGGGGGTGCTGGGACTCAATTCAATTCAACTCATATCTACAAATATTTACTGAGCATTGATTATGTGCCTAAGACTGTTCTAGATACTACTGATATGAAAAATTTATGGGAATCCCTCTCCAGAATGAGATTAGAGTCTAATGCAAAGTCAGAGTCAATAAAGAGGGTAAGAGCAATGATGGAAGTCTGTCCTTGGTGTTCTAGGAACCTGGGAGAGGTGACTCCTTGGCAAGCCGAGGGTGAGGGAAGGTAACCTAGACCTAAACCAGCAGCTCTTACTGACTACAGAAGCACAAAAGCAAAGTATGACCAGAGATCGTATTCACATAACAACCCCACATGTCCTTGGATCGCTAGTCTAGCAAGTGGAACAGGTTATACTTTCTCCACTGATATAGCTACGCTTAACTAAAAGAAAACCAGATTTCATTTCTTGTCAGATTCTTATCTAGATTTAAAACTGAATAAGTAAAGAGTAACCCACTAATAGATCTGGTCCTCACACAAGGGTCTCACCTTATCTCCATCACCCTTGCACCCCTCCCTAACCATGAAACCGGCATTTTGGCCATATTGAGTGATGCGCTTCCCTCAGTGCACCTTGAGGTTCATCCGTGCCTTCCTAACTGTGCTCATGCTCATTCCACCAGCTAGAAAGTGTCCCACCCAACCCACAGTTAATATCTACTCTTCTGTCACGCTAAATATCATAACAATCTTCAAATCTTCTAAGACTCTCTCCCCCAGGCAAAACTAATTCATCCATCACCTAGGCCCCTTAGCATCTTATTCATAATGCTGCTTGTGTGTGTTTCCCAGTTGACACCCTTTGGGGGCAGGGACCACATTTCATTCAGCTCTACAGCTTTCTCCCCTCTACCCCAGACCCCTACCTAATATTTGGCACATGGTAAGTATTGCACTAAATGAATGAATAGAAGGAACATTTTACTCCACCAGAACAGTTTTCTTTATTTACCTAAAGGGCCTCTGTCCTTCTCTCCTAGCATTCTGAGTTTGAAGAGTCCTGATGAGAAAGAAGATGACAGCAGAAGAGACGAGGAGAAGTCCAACCACAGAGGCGATGGTGATGCCAATCACCAAGGGCTCGGACACAAACTCCTCACAGCGCTCGCCTCGGTACCACCAGTTCTCACCCACCCGGCATCTGCAAGGAGAGGTGACCAAGTCTAAACATGGAATCACTCTGCAGAGAGCAGTAATCCACAACAGAAGCTTTAGCAGGACTGGGAAAGGTAAAGAAATGCTGACCACCTGAAGCTTTAGTAAAGAGGTAGGTATCAGGTAAATGGTCACGGGTTTTAAGTCTGTGCATCATGCCTGGCAGTGAGCCAGGAGGTCAATGACTGCAAGTAAATGGTGGAATGAAAGACTAGACTTAAAGGAAGTATTCTAATCAACTTCCTTAGTTATGGATAACATAAAGCAGGCCCAGAGGAAAGCGGCTGGTGTGAGTCACACCATTAGTCAGCAACAGAGCTGGGGCTGGCGCCCAGGTCCCCAGACTCCTCATGGCCTTTCCCCACACTGCAGACAGCCTCCAAGGCTCAGGGCCTAGACTTGTGCAAAAATGTCATCAAATCACAGGGCAGCAAGGAAATCACTGTTTTTCAAAATAATACTGATTTCTCTGCATATCAAGAGATTACTTTTCCCCTTAGTTTCCTAGCTAAACATTATACTTTTCCACATAGGAGAGTGTGAATCATTTCTATGTCCCCTGTCTTTGGCATTATGCCAACATTTTACCTTTTTCACACTCACAAATTGCCCTCTTGTTTATTCTCAGCATTCTCTCCTTTTACACCATGTGACTGTGGTGTGGATGGCTGGGAGGTTGATTTGCTCTGCTTTGTTTAAGAGGGATGGGCAGGAAAAGATGGTCAGGCTCCCTGTATCTGCTCATCTGTCTGCTGCACTGGGTGCCAGGGCGGGATGGGGGGAGTTCTACCTTAAAACAATGGATCTCGTGTGTGTGTATATATATGAAATAAAATATACTTGTCATAACTTCAAAGACTTTACATATTTGCTTTTCTTTATCTCTGAATACTCTGTAGGACCAAGAGCAGCCCAAGCTATTAAAAACATAATCCAAATAGAATGAAACTTCTCTGTTTCACGTTCAGGTACACTATAGAGTGTTGATCTTATGCTGAAACCTAATTTAGGCACCCGTTGCCTCACCATCACCTCCAAGAACCACAACCCTAGGACACTAGGCAATGTTTCTCTTGCCGCTCCCAAAGAGCATGAAATAAAATAACCATTTGAATTTGGTGTAAGTCAGGCCTTTTAACCAACTCAGTCTTCACATGAGAACTAGATGGCACCAATCTGTTGCCTAGATATAATTTCTATAATACATATGGCTGTGATTATCCTAAAATCATAGGTGTAGACCCATTTTCTTCAGAGGAAGTACCCACAACCTTGTGAAGCCAAAACCCCATTACACCATACCTACAAATGGCCCCATGTCCGGGCATAATGTCACACTTTCCATCATTGAAGCAGAAGTCAGGCTGCAGGTCACAGAGACTCTGACAGGGCCGTTCCCCAACACTCAGGTACCCAGGGTAGCACTTGCACTCTGCTTCTCCACTCCAGGGATTGACCAAGCACTCAGAAAATTCATTGCATGCCTGAAATTTGCAAGGGTTGGCTTGATCACCTAAAACACCAAACAAACCAGAAAATTATTCAAGGAAAGGCAACACACAGGAGTTGGGGTACATGAAGGTCCTCCACTAAGGCTCTCTGCTCGAGAATACCGTGGGGTGACCCCTTTCTTGAACTATTAAAATATACCATTACCACAAAGAATTTCTGACTCATCTGGGAATCTTTTCTAGACCCTTCACAGGGAGAGTGGCCCTGACAACACCTTGATTTTAGATTTCTAGCTGTCAAAAGTATGAGAGAAAAAATTTCTGTTTTTGTAAACCACCCAGTTTGTGGTCCTTAGTTACAGCAGCCCTGGGAAACTAATCCAGGGGAGCACTAGGACGATGCTGCTATAACAAGGAGAGCATACAAGCATGTAGACGGGCAGTTTCTACAGCAGAATTCCACTGTGCATTTCCCGAGTCCTCACAGTCTTATTCAAACACACACAGTGCAACTGTGTACTCAGACAGTAATACAATCCTGGCCTACCAGGGAGGGACAGCAGTGGATACAGAGTGGGAGGGATGATGTTGCCTGACTCCCTTCATTGATGGAAGTTCAAGAGTTTGTGAAAACTAGAGAGGCAAGAGACAAGTCGATGCTGCCTCCAGCCAATCATGAGGTAAAATGATACTTTAATCTGAAGGCCTTTAACTAAAAATATACAGGTAGTAGGAAAATTCTCTTTAAGAATTCTAAAACATTGTGATCCTCCAACAGGTATAGGGGAGTGCCTAGGGGAAGGAAAACAGGATCTATAAGAAGAAAGAGATGGATGTTGCTCCCTTCTGCTCCAGACCAAGGAGAAATGCTAAGACTAATATTTTAATCATATAAATAAGAGACTACAGCTTTAAAGTCTTTTTCCAGTCCTTTATGTAAGTTAAAGGTGGGTGCCCAGAACAGATGTCCCTTTGTTTAAGAGTACCTTAATGACTTTATGGGAAAACAAGTGTAGGCCTGGAGCTAACTTTGGGATAAGAGACAGGGATTAAACGGTAGAATGAATTATGTCTAGTTTTCCACGGGCAGGCAAGGAGAGGAACTGATGGGTCCAGAAAAAATGAGAGTGGAGAAAACATAAAGAGGGTGGAGAGACAGCCAGCACAGCCAGAGTAACATGATAGCTGGCTTGGTCCAAAAAGCTGGCCAATAAGAAATGACTTTGAAAAGAATGCTGATATTTGTGCCTAACAATATTTTAGTCCATCTGTTGTGGATGAGATAGCCTCCTCTGTCACCCTCATATCATTAGCATATATCTTACAGAATCAGCTACCTTGTTTTAGAGGTGCTTTGGGAAAGTCAAATATAGGTCTGTGGACCTGACCTGTGTGGCTCAGTTGGTTGAGCATCATCCTGCAAGGCAAAGGATCACCAGTTCAATTCCTGGCCAGGACACATGTGTGGATTGCAGGTTTGATCCCCAGTCAAGGCACAGTTGAAAGACAATCGATTGATGCTGCTCTCTCACATCAATATTTCTCTCCCTCTCTCTTTCTATCCTTTCCCCTCTAAAATTAAATAAAATCTTTTTTTTTTAATGGGACCATGATCTGTATTGGGTTTTCATAAAGAACAACCACAAGCATCAAGACAAATGTGAGACTGGAAACTCAGCAGAGGAAACTTTGAGCTGGAGGTGATTAAGAGATATTCAAGTTCCCTGTTCATTCCTAGAGATACTGAAGATGGGAGGGACATGGATGCAGATTTTATACTGCACATGGGAGGGGCTAATGCCAGTTCATTCAAATATTTAAAAAAAGGTGACCTTATAAACCTGGAAGACTCAGCCTGCAGCTGACACATGAGTTACATAAATGCACTTATTTATTGTACTTCCCTTTTTTTAAAAAGTGGATTGACTTTTGCAAAAATTTCATAAATTATAACAGCTTGCATTTGTATGGCTAGTCAAATGCAAATATATGTTATTTGTTTAATCCTTTGAATAGCCTCATGAAATACATAAGTCAGGTATTATTATCCTCATTTTTTAAACATTTTTAATTTTTCAATTAGAGTTATTGTACAGTATTATATTTGTTTCAGGTGTACAACATAGTGATTAGACATTTATATAACTCACCCAAAACATTACCCCCATTTTATATACATGTACTAAGGCTCAGAGATAAAATAGCTTATCTAGGGTCACACAAATGATAAATGGAAGATCAAAGACAAGAAATCAGCCCTTCCAAATTATAATTAATTGCTACTTCCACTACCCCACATGGCAAAGAATGTGAACCAGCCTTAGAGAACTCAAATGGAAATAGATTTAGATATTGGGGGATTAGCCAAATCATTTCCTCACTTTCAATGAATAATGGTCCTTCAAGGATTTCAAAGAAAAGAATGTTTGCTTCTTTCTCAGTTAAAGAATAGAGTTGAATTTCAAACAAGTTTGAGAGTAAAAGATGCTGGAGAAATATAAACCCAGACATTCCCCATTACTCCTACCCAAAACCACCAGTCTTCGGGTGTGGAGAAGATAAAAAAAGAGCAAAGACTGAGGATTCAACGGTGTTCTCTCCATCAAAGTTTTCCAAATAAAAAAATGGTTCATTTCATTTATTCACAATATTTTTCAGTACCTTCTATATGTCGTTAATAAAAGAGATAAAGTCTCTGTCCTTGTGCATGGCTAAATGGGGATACTAGCCATTAAGCAACTATGTGCATAAATTAGTATTATCACTAGTAGTAAATTCCATAGCAGGAAAAGAATATGGTGTTACCCCCAACCCCCAAAAAAAGCCTAATAGGAAAGACCCAATATGGATTATGGGTGAGTTGGTGGAAGTCTTGAGGAAGAGACATTTGAACTGAGGGATAAACCTGTGAGCAGAAGTCAGCCAAAAGGGGAAAGGGTTCCGGGCAAAGGAGCTAATATGTGCAAAGGCTCTAAGGCAAGAAAAGTTTTTTGAATCTGAAGAACTAAAAATGAACTAGTTTGACTTGGTGAGCAAAGAAGTTAGTTTCATTGAATGATATTGGGGAAGAAGATAGGGACCAGGCCTAGTGACTGTTAACCCAGGCAGTCACTGGAGCATTTCAGGCATGAAAGTGAAGTAATCTGACTGATGTTTTAGAAAGAGCACCCTGGCTGCTGGCTGCAGAATGGATGGGGCAAGGGAACAAGAGAGGTAGTGGGGAACCTGGTTCAAATGAGAGGTGACGATGGCTTGGCCTGGAGTTGTGGCAGTGGAGAGAGAGAGGCATATAGATTTGACATATATTTAGAATTCAGAATAGTATGAGTTTAGTGAATGACTGAAAGTTGGGAGTGATGGAAACTGAGGTATCAGAATGATTTCCCATGTTTCTGGCTTAAGTAGCTGAATGGACACAGCTTCCATTTATCAAGATAAGGAAAGTGAGAGGAATAAATATAGCTGGAAGGTGGCCAGATATGGAAGACAAGAGCTCACTGTTACATATCTTAAATTTGATATGCATAGAATACATCCAAGTTGAGATCAACAAGTACATAGTAGTTAAATATTGATTATGGAGCTCAGAAGATAAGTCTGATCTGCATATAAAAATGTGGAGAGTTATTAACAACTACATTAGACTGACAATAATGGAAATGGATAAAACAACTTAGGAAAATAATACAGAAGGAAAGAGTCCAAACCTACTGGGCTTGGCTACATAGAGATGTATAGCAAGAGTAGACCTAGTGGACAGGTAAAAGAGAGAGCCAGTAGAGCAGGTAGAAAAGGGAGTGGGAGGTAAATAAGATATCATGTATGGACAACCATTTGGGGGATTTTCTTCCCCCTCACCTGAGACATTTTTTCCATTGTTTTTAGAGAGAGAAGAGAAACAGAAACATCAATGTGAGAGAGAAGCATTGATTGAGTGCCTCCCCTGTGTACCATGACCAGGGGTCGTAAGTTCTCAGACGAACAGGGCCAGACCTGCAACCTAGGTGTGTGACTTCACTGGGAATCAAACCCACGACTTTTCGGTTACAGTACGATGCTCCAACCAACTGAACTACACTGGCCAGGGCCTGTGGACAACCCTTTTGAAAAGAGAATGATATTGATGTCCTTGAGAGAGATATTTTACTAATTATCAAGATGTGGAAAATTTGCCTGACACAGGACTCTTTTACCTACAAGTGTTGAATTCAACTTGACTCAGGGAAAAGAAAATACATAAGAATAATTAATGGATTCCACTAAGAAACAAGTAGGGTAATCAATATCATTACCTGATTCCACATCAAGGGAATATTTATCAATAGCCAAGTTCATGGTTTGGTAGGCAGTGGTGCAAAAGTCTTCCAGAATCATATATACAGCATTGTTAACATTAGGAGGGACAGACTTGGTGAACTTCATTCTGCTGTTCACCACAATACTGCCATTTCTGAAGTTCAAGATTTCTAAATTCTGGAACCCTGTGAGATTTGACTGGAGATAGGGAACCAGCTACAATACACAAAAAATGATCAGTTTATTAAAAAGGTTTTGCATTTTGTTCAACACATACAAAAAACAAAAACACAAAGATGTACCCCTCCCTGTTTCCAAACTGCATGCTATTTAAATTATTTAAACTATGCATCAACAAAGGTATCAGTTGTAACTACCAATTTGTACTTCCTAATCCCTTCACGTTTTCACCTAGTTCCCCAACCCTCTCCCCTCTGACAACTATCAGTATGTTCTCTGTATCTATGAGTCTGTTTCTGTTTCTTATTCATTTGTATTGTTGTTTAGATTCCACATGTAAGGGAGATCATATTGTATTTGTCTTTCTCTGGCTGACTTATTTCACTTAGCATAATACCCTCTAAGTCCATTCATACTGTTGCAATGGTAATAGTTATGGGGATGTAAAGTACAGCACAGGAACTATAATCAATAATATTGTAATAACTCTGTATGGTACCAGTTGGGTACTGGAAATATCAGGGGGAACGCTTTGTAAAGTATATGATTGTCCAACCACTGTTTGCACACTTGAAACTAATACAAAATAATATTGAATATAAACTGTAATTGAAAAAAATTTTAAAGAAAAAAAGGTTAGTTGTGAATTATTTGCGAGTTGTGAGATTGTAATAGTGATATTTAGGAACCCCATGGAGCTCACAGACAGTTCTAGACAACAGAGTTTATTTTCTCTGTTTCACTACAGGGTCACAACAGTGAAGGCATCATAGGTACCCAGAAAATACTGGTCTCACAATAAACTGTGAGAAAAATCTTCAACGTGTTTCAGTTCTAGAATTCATGAATACAATCTTCAGTACCTAAGCTGTCACATGTCTCTCATGCCACACTTGTGTTTTCTGTTTCTTGTATACACCTGTCTTATTGTTTTCCTACCAACCCTAGGCCCTGACACTATTTGTAGTCAATTTTTAAAAAGTGAGTATCTACAGCAGACCCCATTTTCCTTGACTCATGTCTTATTGTTGAGGGGGAAATAGGTGGCTCCTACATGATTACTAACTAATACCCATATGTCACTTCTTGTGCTTACCAATTCCAAGAATCTTTGCTCCAGGGCTTTATACTCCGAAGAGTTTTTATTAAACAGATCTTCTGAAAACATCATGTTAGTCACTCGAAGGCTAAAGAACACCAGCAAAGCTCCTGTGGTCTGTGTATGATTTGAGTCATTTCTTTTTGTGGGCCGAGCAACAACAGCCATCTCTGTAGAGTGAACATTTGTAGACATTTCCACATAACTACCAACCTTGCCATTTTCCTCTGGGATTAGCTCAGGCTGATAGTACTCTGTGCCTATCCGGTCCAGTTCTAATGAAATATCTTGTACGCCCATAATTACTTCATCCTCCAGCAGGGTGGGGCTTGTGGTTGGAGGCAATGTGGTGGACTGTGTCATGGAAGCTTTCAACCAGAGCTTGTCTCTACTCTCTGGTGCACTTGCTGATGATGTGTCTCCGGACAATTTCCCTTGGGAAGAAGTTTTTGCCCAAACTACATCTGACTCTGGCAATGTGGTCCACAAAGATTGCCCATCTGGCTTCACTGCTGAAATCTTGCTGTCAAACCATTCACGATGGGATGACTCTGTAGATTGTTCCATATCCTCCTTTAGAAAGGCTTCCATTTGATCTGGTTTGCCGGTAGAAGGAGAGATAGCTGTAGATGTCAGTAAAGGAGGCGCGTTAGTACCTGAGTAATAATCAATGTCAGGTACCTCTGATGTGTGCTTGGAGAGAAGCAGAGATTCAGACTGAGTTGTGGCCTCTGCAGAAATGGGCACAATAGGCCTGTCAAGGGGCTCCTCCTCTGCCAGATGTGTGGGTCTGTCCAAATGCCCATATTTTGAGTGCTCACTACTTCTGTCTGTGGAATCTATTTTGTCATCTGTAACTAGTTTCTCATCTACAGCCTCATTTGGCAAAAGTGAATCCTCATCTTCCAGCCATGACTTGGACAGTGGTTCAGTGCTCTTCTCTAATGAAGTGTCACTCCATGGCCAAGTAATCAGATCCATCTTTTGCCCAGATCCTGAACCAAAGCCACTCTCAAATATGAACTCTTTTTCCATGGATGTGTCTGGCATCAAAGTGCTCACTTCTAATTGGCCTTTGACTTTGGAGACCAAAGAGTCCAAGCCAAAATGTATATTTACTTCCTGAGTAGGAAGATCTATTGTGACAGAGGAGGCCAGATATGGTGAGGATGTCGAAGACACCCCAGAGTCTTCCATAGATGGTATTGTTTCTTTTGGCACAGGATGAGTGGATGGACTTGAAAACAATGGACCAACAGAAAGAATATCTTCTGACCCTTCAACTTTGATTAATCCTAAAAATAAAATTTTCCATTAATTAGCCAACAGTGTTACTAAATTTTATTCCCAGTCCTAATTAAACCAGCTTCCCCATTTTTTCCCATTAATTGGGAAGAGGAGTTCCTGACTTTTACACTGCTATTTCCAGGAAACAACAGGACAACATGATTATGTTTTTGTGGTCTGGTACAATCACTCATGAATATACCCCATTTCCTTGAGAATAACAAGATATCAGCTATTAAAATAATTCACTTTTAAACAGTTGATTTTTTTTCTTACTCTATGAAACTAAAGAACTGCTGGTAGCCATATTGGCTATAGACACAGAATCTAGTGAAAACTTAGGGATAAAATTTCCTAGGAAATATTGTTTGTCTTTGAATTTCCATTTCCTTGTTAAGTTTATTGTCCATCATCCTTCAGATGCACCTAATGTTCGAAATCCGGGACTCATTATTTATATCTTTGTTCATCTTCCTCTTTCACATGTATACTCCATGCTTGGGTTACAGTGATTTTTCCTTTCCTTCACAACTTCTAAATCACCTACTTGATTTTCATTTTTTAATCTGTGCTATACCTTCCTTAGTTCAGGCTCTCTCTTTCCGAAGCCTAATGCAAGTTAAAAATCTCTATACCTGGCCCCTACAATTAATCCTATTAAAAGCTAGTGGGATAATCTTGTTTGATGCTCTTTACCACTCCAATATTCAAGTCAGTAAAGTAGTTATTTAATAGTAATAATTATATACATTTTAATAGAACCTTCAAAATACCTATTAATTTATCCCCACCGTGGTCCACCAACTTCATTTCCCATTATTTTTCTCCATTCCCACCAATTAAATCTGGTCCCTCTCTCACACAACTTTCCGGAGACATTTCCTCCTAATGCACACAACCACGCCTTTCTACCAACCATCTCTTCAACTCCTCAAAGCCCTTGGCATCTGACAGTGTACAGTAAAGAACTACAAAAAGTGGGTGTAAGTTCTTACCATCTTCTAAAAAGGGAGATGCAGAAGTCCTTTCCTCAGAAGCCACAGGCCAATCAGTCTGAAGCACTGCTGGGGTGACAGAATGAAGAGTCAAGCTGCTAACCTCTAAAACCTCTGGGGAAGAACTGAGGCCCACCTTCGAGGGAAAGGCTAATTTGGGTGTAGACGCTAAATCACCCAAAGGTCTTTCTGACCAGAGTTCCCTGCCAGTGGCAGAGGAAGGACCAGGGCTGAAATCAAGTGGTGAAATACTGCTGGTAGTGGATTCCTCTGCTGAGGGCCATTCAGCTTGAAGGGTATTATCCTAGGGGGGAAAAAAAGGCTAAATCATATCATAGATAAACAGAAACACATAGAAACGATTTTAAATGCCACCTACCTATTTAAGTTCTCAGGTTTTCTAGGGACAAGGAGGCAATGTAATGTCGGAGGGAAGGGAGACATGGGCTCCAAAATCAAACAGATCTGCAATCAAATCCCAACTCACCACTCACTAGCTGAAAAATCTAGTTGGAAAAACCAAGTACCCCTTGAATCTCAGCTGGAAAGTGGGAATAGATAAGATAACATACTCAAAAGATTCCAAACAAAATGAATTTGTGGAAGAGAATAGTTTTTCTTGCTTTAGATAATTCCTTTTCCTCTATCTTTGCTTAAATACTTTAAACACATAGAAGTTACTAATATCCATAATGTCTTGTCAAAGACCTAAGCACATTGTCCACAGCAGAAAAGAACAATTAGCACTTTTATTCATTACGCTGAAAGGTACTCAGTAATTAAGATCCTTGTTTTGATAGACAGTTCCACCACATCAAATGAGGCCTGGTTATCTTAAGCAAATATCAACATCTGTGAAATGGCATCACACTTACAAAATACAATTTTCTCTTCCTAGTGACTTTTTACTAATGTATTACTAATCTTATATTCAAACTTAGCTTCAGGAGTAGAAAAGTAGAAACATAATCTTTTTAGCATGCTAATTATTTAATCCTATGAAGATTAGTCTATGTAAAAATGTTCCCTACTGATGCTGAAAGGCAAAATGCATGACATTTGGTGGGAGTTTGTATATTGTCATCATGCAAAAAGCAAGGGTAATATGCATAGAATTCATAAAATATTTCCTGGGTGAAAACAGAAAAAGAAAAAAGAATCATCATCTCTACCCTCAATAGTATTAAGATCACATGGAAACACTTTTTAAAACACCAAGGTCCCGGCTGCACATTCCACAGATTCTAATTTAATTGGTCTGAGGATGGGACTTAGACATGATACTTTTAAAAACTCCCAAGTAGAGGATATAGCCTGATCATGCTCTAGTCATATTATTCCACCCTAGATCTCCTGAACATTTCTTTAATGGTCCTCACTTAATATTTCTCATTAACTGAAACCTCCAAGAAATCTCCCACATGTATAAACCTGCCTGAACACTAGAATTCATGGACTAGCTATGAGCAAAATGAAGCCCATGAAAGCTAAGAATGAGAAACTCTAACTACAACTCCTTCCTCTTCCTCCAGGAGATTCCTACCAGTGGTTTACACTCTCGAGCCTCACATGCTTTTTAAATAAAAGCACAGTTTTAAAGTGGCTAATTGCAGTTTAGTCTGTGGCCATTATATAAAACAGAACCTACTGGCCTATGGAGAGATTCAACCCAATGTCATGATCAAATTAGTCTTTTATGTTTTGCCCACATATCTCCCCTTGTCTTTCCATCAAGGGTCTGTGTGAGGAAGCTTCAGACAGCACACTCCCAATTACAAGGGAGCGAGAGCAAGAGGCAAGAAATCCCTGGGCGCGTCCTAATTTATCCCTTTTTTTCAATGACAAATGCACTGAAGAGAGAACAACAGTAGATCTTTGGGTATATGTAGAGATGCCCTCAGTTCCATCTACAATTTTTAAACTGAAAGCACTCTGTCAAATACACTGGTTTTCTTCTGTGGAAAGACACCATGCTGTTTTAATCAGGTCCTATTTTAAGTGGGCCACCAAACTGGCTATTCTTTGCCACTACCTCAGGTCTTCCTCATCTTGCTCTCTGTGCTAGAAAGCTAACCCCCATTAACTTCACCACTTCTGAGCCCTCCCCACCTGCCTTCTGTTTGAGCTTGCCCCTTTAGAAGCACAAGCAGAAGATCCAAGGTCGGGAATACTGAAAGGCAGGAGTATTCCCTCCCTGCTTCCTCCAAGCCTCCATGCTGTGTCTCTTGCAGTAGCCGCACCCCTCCACAGTTGCAGCTCCAGCTCTCACAGGTGCAGCTTGCAGCTCTAGCCGGGCTCTGGTGAGAGCATTTCCTCCCCTTGCCCTACAATCCAGTGATTGGTAACAATTTCTCACTGTGATTAGTCCCTGCACACCTCTGCTCCCTTCCTTATTCCCTTAACACTGTATGCACTACCATGTAGCTGTCTCTGTAACTATTGAGACCCTGGCTGAGCCATGTTTTACAGTCCAGTGCATTTTACAAGCCCATAAAATTTTGAACCATTTCTGTCAAAAGGTGACGGAAGTTGACCCTTGAACAATGCAGGCATTAAGGGCACTGACTCCATCTTGCCACATAGTAAAACATTCGCATATAACTTTCAACTTCCCCAAAACTTAACTACTAATAGCCTACTGTTGACCAGAAGCCTTACTGATAACATAAATAATTGGTTAACACGTATTTTGTATGTTACATGTATTATATATTATATTATTACAATAAGGTTAGCTAGAGAAAAAAATTGTTGAGAAAACCATAAAGAAGAGAAATACAATTATGGTACTGTTTGTAATTATTGGGAAAAATCTACATATAAGTGGACCCACACAGTACAAACCTGTGTTGTTAAAAGGTCCACTGTACATAGTTCACAATGAAATATAAACAATCAAAAAGGAGAAATGAGAATCAATTAAAACAACAAAACATGAACCCAAAATGGTATTATTCTAGTTAAGCTTAATTAGAAATAAAGAATCTAGAAAGGAAAGAGGGAAGTGATGAAAAGTAGATAATGTAATATTAGCAAATATTTTTTGGCAATGTGGCTTTGGTCAAGAAAAAAAAAAAAAAGGAGTAGAAGTAAGATACATCTAAGCATTAGGCTGGAGTATATGACCTGAATCTGTTGAAGTGAAATATATGAGAAAAAAGTAAGATATATGTAAAAGAAAGAAGAAGCTGAAGGTAATCCTTTAATGACTAGAAGTAACTGCAAATGATCTGTAAAACAGGAAAAAATTTCAGGATAAAAAAGTATGTCTTGGGATTTCTCTGTCAGAAGTGAACAGTTTACAGGAACAAGTATAAAGGACACATGGACAAAAACTAGGGGCAGGTGGAAATGGGAGGGAGGTGGGGAGGGCTGGGATGGGTGGGCTTGGATGGGAGTAAAAGACAGAAAATTGTACTTGAACAACAATTAAAATTTAATTTAAGAAAAAAAAGTGAACCTGAGAGACCTCCAGACAGGTTGGTGGAACAGGTAAATGTGTCAAAATAGCATCACATCAAAATTACAACTGAACTACAGAACAACCATCATTCAGAAGCACCTGATGTCTAGCTGAATATAAGTCCTACAACTAGGGATTTAAAGAAGCCACATCAAGACTGGCAGGAGAGGTGGGGACACAGAGTAGGCCGGTCCCATATCAATGTGAGGCAAATAAAATTCAAGAGGGAGATATCAGGAGGATATCCCAGCTGCACAGGTCCCCCCTGACGGTGATGGGTCCCAGCCCCACAGCAGGCCCCCCAGCCCAGGGTTCCAGAGCCAGGAAGAGAAGTCCCCATAATCTCTGGCTGTAAAAACCAGCAGGGATAGTGGCTGAGTGAGACAAAGGGCTTCTGGAGTCCCAGGCAGTTCTAAAGGCCCCGAGTAGCAACTTATTCGGACTCACTCCCTCTGAACTCCAGTGCTGGAATAATAGCTCAAAAGGTACCAGGGACATGCAGGAAGGGAATAAATTGTCTGGCATTAGGCTGAGAGCTGGTGAGGGAGGGGAGGGGCAGGCAGCTTTCTCCCAGACTAAAGTTCTGTTGGCAGAGAGCCCTTCCTGACACATGATTTCTACCACAGAAAGCATGTGAGTGAGCAGGACCTTGCTAAAGAGGCTTATTGCTCTCTCAGTCCATCTGGAGTAGTGTCATGAGCTGCACAACCAGGGGGTGGTAAGTGGCTGGGATTCTGCATATATCAAAGGGATGCAGGTCCTACTACCCACATCGTGGACTCCATGAGGAGGCCTGACCATGAGTCTCCAAGGTGCCTCACCCACAGATCATCCCCAGCTGGCTCATGGGCACCTCCAGTACTCACTGTGCACCCCCTACACACACCCCTTCTCCACCCCATGGCAAGCTCCTTGTGCACATCCTCCACAGCAGAGGAGCAGGCTTTGGCAGACAGCCAGTGAGCAGGCACCAAAAGCTGGCCCAAATCTGTAGGTCAGGGAGAAACCATAAACTTGAGCTTTGGCACCACTCTTGGGAAAACAAAAGGGAGGTTATCAGCACTCAGCATGGTGTTTTGTAGGATCAAGAGAAAACAAGTGTGGAGGGGGTGTATCCATAGGAGGTCTGAGAAAGATACAGACTCCCTAGCAGGGATAATGGAAGGTATTTCTCTCCTGAAGTCACTCAGTAAAGACTGAGAGAGGCAACTGCTACTTCAGATGTGAAGTCAGCCACACAAGACTTCCAGAAACAAAAAAATCAAAGAAACATGACTTCACCAATGAAACACAGTAATCTCCCAGTAACAATCCCCAAAGACACAGATATCTGCAGTTTACCTGGCAAAGAATTCAAAATTGCTATTCTAAAGAAGTTCAGTGAGCTACAAGAAAAAACAGTAAGACAATTCAATGAAATCAGAAAGCAATACATAAACAAAATAAGAAATTTAACAGAGACAGAAATCATAAAAATGAAATTAACAAAATCTGAAGCTGAAGAATACAATGAATAGAGCGAAGATTCAACAGAGAGCATCAACAACTGCATTGAGCAGAAGAAGAAAATCTGTGAAGTATAAGACAGGACTTTGGAGTTATCCAATCAGAAGAGAAGAAAGAAAACAAAGTGAAAAAAGTCCTAAACTATGGACAGGATCAAGAGAAGCCATCTGTGAATCGCTGGCATCCCAGAGGAGAAGAGAGAAAGAAGGGGGCCGAGAGCTTGTTTAAAGATAATGGCTGAGAACTTCACCACACTACAGAGATTTGAGTATCTAAGCTCACAAAGCTCATAGGACTCAAAGCAAATTCAATTTCAAAGTATCTTCTCTAAGACA